CATAGTAATAACAATGACAGACATTTCCCCCTCAATATACCTTTCTCTTTCATCTTTGATATGGGCAAGGTAAAAATCTAAAAATAACTGAATTGAACATACAACCTATTATGTCTTGTCTTTGTGGCAAATTTAAACAAAATCTGTGTACCCAAGAAACTGGTGAAACAATTGCAGAAGACTGAATGGCCACCAGTTGACCATTTTGAATGAGATAGTGAAACAAATTCAAAGGTGTCAATAACCTACATGAGTTTGAATGAAATCATTCCAGGTATGCTTCAGAAATGATTGATATGTTAAAATAATTTTGTGATGATTGGTTTTAGAGATATTGGTGAATAAGCTGAGAATTTGTTTATTTGATAATGCAGATTTCAACGCCAAACTAATCAGATGTGTGCATTCTCCCCATGCACCTATGTTTCATTGAAATCTGTGGAAAAGCTGAAAATAGACTCCTTATTATGCAAATTAGTTATTACGGTAATATGCACAGATTGCAACCCAAAGGTTTTTTGCATTTAAGATTTTAGTGGAAATGCCAAAACTTACTAATTAATAGATCTTCCCATGTACCAAGGTTCATCGACATAGGTTGATTGGTTCTTGAGATTATGGTGATGTATACCGGTGTATGTGTATGTGTATATATATATATACATATATATATACATACAAACATACACAGGCAGGGTAACTGTAAAGACTCCTATTGCATGCTTTGTATACAGTCAAAAAATAATTTACATGCATACGACTAGTGCCGACTTTGGTCAATGCACGTCTGAGAAAGTATGTTGAAGAGAACAGTCTCGTTTTCAAACTTTGTTGACAGATGAGAACTAATTACCATCAAAATAATATAAACACTGATACTGCAAGGGCCTAGTAAGAAAAAGTGCAAAGTTGTCAATCACCAAATAATCTGCTGGCAATGTTTCAAGGAAAGTCCACTGATTCGGCCATTACCTTACCATCATACCTTGGTAATTCAACATTCCTCCATTTACTTTTATATCAATGCTACGGCAACACAGCTTGGATATGTGCTTAAGAGATGCTTAAAATCAAATACTGTTAAAAACTTTTATTTTAGCTGGAATTAATTTTTGCTAAAGACATTTTGGGTGTTTTGTATGGAATTTATTTTCACTGAATTTTGACAAGTTGAATGTAAAACATAGGAAAAAGGTATATTCGCTGGATTTTATTTTCACTGAATCATTCCTTCAGCGAAAATTTATTCCAAGCAAAAATAAAGTACTCTACAGTATATGCATTTTATTGCGATATATAAACATGCACAGGTAATGGGGGGTGGGGGTGGCATATATAATATACATGTAGTTTGCAATGGATGTTTTCACTTTACTGCAAGGAACTTTTGTCATTTACGGCGGGAGGGGGAGGGGTTAATACAAATTCAACATAAATAAAAGAACAAAACAGTTATTTAAAAAGATTCCATGGATTTTAATAAAGACCAATGCAGATTATGTACAAAAACAGTGTGGGTTTGATAATTATGAATTATCAAATCATTTTCATAAAAGGCAACCAACATTTCAGACACATACAAAAATTAACCATACAACTGAACGCAATTACAAAAAGAAATATTCTCAATCATATTTGCCAATCCCGTCAAAGTTTCTACACAACATTTGGCTATGTATTACTGTACTGAATTTATATTAATCAAATTTGGCCTACAAGTTACAGATTGAAAACATACTGTACAGATACTGCTATTTTTATGAACGCAGCTGTTCGCATGCCAAATAAGTGTCAACAAAAAACAATCAAGTTACAAATGGAGGGAGATGTATAAAACATCTGATACAGGAAACGTCATGAACACAGCCTTTTTTCTCTTCACTGACATTGGTGCCCCTGAGCAGAATCACAAATGTTCAATGTGAAATATTTAAATATGTGACCCACAGAGGTAACTCTTGATTCCATAAAATATATGGGCGAGGTATGTTACGAAAGTAGATTTAGGAAGGAAGGCATGACATCAACAAGAAAGGAAAGTTCTCCACTGAGAGCATAACATTCAACAGTGAAACATTGATAAGAATTAGTGAAATTCAACAGAAATGTTATAGAATCGTATTCCATAATAGAGTAATAACGTTGGCAATATTCACAGGACCCGTGTCCACAGAGTAAGGTAGACAATAACAAATGTTTACTATCATTGTAGTTTCATGTAAATGACAACTGATTTGAATCTTCAAGTATTCATTAGATTTATCAAAACAAAGCAACAAAAATCATTCAAGTATGTTACACAATTCAAAACAGCTGATCGGAGAGGGGAGGGACACTGTTTTATTTTATTAAATTTTGTTCAACTTTCACAATTAGTTTTTTTTTGTTTTTTTTTACTTCACTACTACTGTAATTAAAATTTACAGAAATTTGACTTTTAGTTTGTGCAACTAATAGAATCACAACATTGTAACACATTCACTGGCTGCAGATATTCTGTAAAGAATTTGTGTAAATAAAACAACTTTTGCATTGATTGGTGATTGGTAAATTATTACTTATCAAAAGGTACACATTATGACAAAATCTGGTTGCAGGACTTATAATATAGACCAATGGCAGTGCTTACTTGAGGGATAACAAGACAGGTGGGTAGGAAATGTGATCTTGGTGGGCGAAGACACAAACTTGGTGATGGCCGTCTTTGATAAGCCATATAATATTCAACTTTAGATATTGTGTGTAAATGGCATCGCACACATATTCCTCTTTTAAACATCATCAATGGTATAGCTACATGTGTCAGTTGACGTTACAGTAAATTAACATAGCTGTTGAAACAATACTTAAATGACATACTAAATTCTTCATGAAGTACTGCATTAAGCCAGGAACAAACTTGTGTAGAACGTCTATATGGCCAGTCCAAAAGTCTGACATGTTTTTGTTTTTTTTGTTAACAAAACAAAAGGGAAAATCAATTTCAGATGCAAGTCTCATGCTATGTATGGAACACAGACTCAACTCACAATATGAGGCACAAGGCAGAGAGTTATTGGTACATAACAACATGTACCATTTGATCACACCAGCATGGATGTCACATATTTTAGGGAGTTAACACAAAGCAATCCTTTCTACAGAGTCAATCATCCAACATGGCGATCTGAATCTCTTGAAGATACACCGCTATTTAGTGTCACTGCATGGAAAGTCTACAGTAGAATCGAATGGATCATCATTATGGCAGAATACATTGCCAGGTTTGTGAAATGAATTTGAAACTGACAGGCAACCAAAAAGTACTGGGTGATGAGTGCATCAATTCAATATAACTTTGTGTCCTCACAGCATTCACTATGACTTGGATATCTTCCGCCTGAATGAGAAAAGACAACAACAAGCATTGTGTTAAAATCATGACACATGTTTGTAGGTAATCAAAATTGAATGTGCTCTTAAAACACAAATAGTGATTAAGTAAGGTAACTCTAGATGTGTGTAGGCAAGGGTCAGCATAACACTCAGTGTTCGTTTTCTCATTATACCTTGGTTTGCCCTCACTCGTTGTTGAAGAGGTGGACGAGGCGCTACTTTTTCGAGAACTTTTTTTAAGTGAACCTATAAAACAAACAAAAAGTTTGTTAAGAACATTTTGAACCTATAAACGAATAGGCTTACAATCATGATTTGCTTAAGATGTATGGTGAAATTGTCAAGACATATTTTTAAGATAGAATGGCCACCATTCAGCCATATTGGATCATTATGTTAAAACAAATGCATAACAAGACTGTGTACCAACAAACAAGTCATTGAAAATGACACAGTCCTTGTTAAATTTTTGAAAGTTCTCTTTGTGCTCGTCATATTAAAGCGGAGGGGTTGTCGCGAGCGTGTCCTTGAAACTTTAGTCCCAAGTGGCAAATACAACAAATTGTTATTTATTTACATCAAATTCAAATACGTGTTGCGTGATGACCCCTCCGGTTTAAGACCTAGCAAAAAAAAAAAAACATAGATCACAAGTAAAACATATTGAGGTGCATGTCTATGTTTTTGCACTTGCTAAAACTGTTTAAAGTATGTTTGAGAAAATGCAAGTCTGAGGATCGGAATGAGGCACTAAAATTACATTACTGCTTGTTGCGATGGTGCCCTACAATAAATCTTTACATGGGGCTTACAATGTTAACATATGTGTAATGACCAAATTTGAGATTCTGGAATAGGGAATACAGCAATTGCAACTCTTTGTATTGTTAGTTCTGGACTGAAGTAGCTAATAGACCCTTTGTACAAGTCAAGCGCCCTCTTGTGTTGAATAATAAATAAAAGTTTTAATAAATATCAGTTCAAAACGTTTGTGATGCCTCTAATTTAAATTCACATGAAAAAGGGGGTCAAACAATGGTGATCTATCTGTGAATTACACTTGCCCATCTACATCATAAAATTAAAAGAACTCCCTCCGTAGGTGGAATAGTTTGTCAGTTTATTAGTGTAAAATGTCCATTTATGACATGCTAAATATCAATGAAAATGATACATGGGTGACAAAGATTTTGTAATATGGCCAAAAATAAAAACAGCCATTATTCGGCCATCTTTGATCTGATTATGAAACACACTGACATGTATGATGCATGTGCCAAATACGAATGAAAATGGTACACAAATCTTGGAAATATAGTAGTAAGGCCAAAAAGTCAGATGGCTGTCAATCTGATTTTGAAACAAATTGTCATGGACATGTATCCTAAAGTATGTGCCAAATTTGAATGAAAAATGACAAAGCATGTCCAAGATACCACATTTAAAAAAAAAAAAAAATGGCTGCCAGTCGGCCATTTTGAATCAAATCGCTAATCAAACTGCATGTGCATATGTCCCACATAAAGTACTAGGCACATGCAAAGAATGAACGAAATTGTTCCAAAGGTTTCTGAAATATGACTCCAGACGAATGGACGCACGGATGGACGAACGGGCACACAGACGGTCGAAGGACATGTATCCTAACATGTATTATCTATGTACCAAATTTGAATGAAAACTGACAAAGCATGTCCAAAATAAGACATTTTCAAAAAACAAAATGACTGCCAGTCGGCTATTTTTAATCAAATCGCTAAACAACTACATGCGCATATGTCCTACATAAAGTACTAGACACATGTAAAGAATGAACGGAATCGGTCTGAATGATTCTGAAATATGACTCTGGACGAACGGACAGAGACCAAATTATAAGTCCTCGTTTTCGGATTTTGTCTGAACGGCGACTACCGGTAATAACAAAATGATTGTCTTTGGGGAATATTTTAAAAGCTAGACATTTTATTCCAAATTTTAGTATTTTAACTGTCTCAGTTTTTATACATTTTGTACTTGCTGACTATTCCAAAGTATTTTACAGTAGGAATTAAAACTGTTACTATCTCAATGAAGAAATTTTAGTTACAGAGACAATGTGCTCTAATAAAGCAAATGATAATTGCTTCAGAGACAACTTACCTGAGGATGGGTTCTCATTGTACAATCTCTTGACCACATTCTGAGCTGCTGCTTGAGATGAACTACCATGTAAAAAATAGGGACATGAATTGGTATGATAGACACATCAGATAGGACCATTTGTGCCATTTTAGTATGAGTCAGTGATGCAAGGGTTAGTGCAAGATAAAAATCGTTTTTCCACCAAGTAGAATTTTAAACATAACAAGCCTGGCACCTAGAATCCAAGATGATCAATAGTATTAAAGAGAATGACAAATACTGAATTGTGTGCAAACAGCACCATGCCCCAGTTTACTGCATTCACCTAGTGCTTTTTGTGAATAAGTTAGTAGGTTAGTTTCCATTCCATCTGTGGTTGTCTTATGAAGTATGAAAGTGTTCAGGTTAATAATTATTAGTGTGGTAACATAAACACACTGTAAATGTGATAATCAAATCAATAAGAAAACACACAGTATTTTAATCTAATCTATCCATGTACTATCACCAGGTGGTAAGGCTTCAGTCATGAGTTAAGTTTTGTTAAGTTCCAAAAACAGCAGTGCCAACACAAGCGGTGGTAGGCCTTGGATTTTTATTTATTTTTGAGCCTGTGACCATACACAAAATATTTATTTTGCTCCAAGAAGTGATAATACAGGGATTTCAAATGAACGATGGAAGACAAGACACCAAAGAAAAGGCTGGGATATAATGATCAAGTTCTTGAAATGTGTCCTAAAGAAGCCATATTTTTGTGTGACATTGGCAGTGATATCGAAATGATGAGAAACCTTGTTGGAGCAGACTTGAGACCGATGATGCTGCCATCAGATCCTCCCCGAGATCTAGGTCTGTAAAAAGGTTATGAAACACACAATAGGTGAATTGGTGATAGCATGCAGTCATAATAGTGTGTGATCACATGTTATGAGCAGATCCACTCCAAGAATGATACTTCAAACAGCAATGTTATATATTCAAACGTGAAACTCGTCAGCAAGCAAAACCTGTGGTCAGAAACAGGGTGTTGTGTTAATTATCTTTACAGTTAAGCAACAAAAAAAATGAAATGCACATACCTCATTGATGAAGGCATGTCTAAGACTGGTGAATTCTTACCAGTCCTTGCAGATTTAGCCGATGGGAGGGACTTCAGTTTGTTTCCTACAAGTCAAACAATAGCAGAAAAATCGTTATTAGCAGTTGTCTTATGAAAACGATAAGCTCTGTATCACTACTAACCCAACCACCATCACCTGCTGCATGATCACACATTATGAGTGCCTGAAATGAGCAGATATTTACAATAGCAACACAAACTCATTTTAATAGACATGGAAAAGAACAAGGCAATAAACCTAGCTATACTGCTTATATAGCTTAGCGCCACAAATAAACAGGACAACCTGTGAGCTGAGAATACTGACCTTTATTGCTTGATAAATGTGGTGGCGGTCCAGGCAAGAGAGATGAGTTACTATTGGATTGGCTTGCCTTCTTACCACTTACATTAGAACTCTTGGGTGTTTTGGAACCTTCAGGTGAGCAAGACACACATAGTGAATAGATGACATTAGTGTTTACCAAGAAGGGATAGGATCACACAGTTGCCAGCTTGCCAGCCAAAAGTCAGCATATAGAGGACCGTTGTCCATCGCAGGGAATGGTATGTAGATCAGTTACATGGAAAGAGAACACCCTAAAGCTTGGAAAAATTACACTTAGCTAGGTAATAAACTAAAGATTGCTATCACAACGATAGAAAGCATGGAGAAATGATATCAGAATGCTCAGTTTAACTTTGAACCCTTTTGGTTGCTACCTTTTTTACTTAGTTTACCATCTTCATTTTTTTTCCGACCCTTTGCAGAGGTGGGATTCTTTGCCGATTTTTCAGCTTCTTCTTTTTCCTTTTCTTCTAACTCTATCAGGAGTTTCTCTTCTTCTTCCTTTTTCTGATCTATTATATCTTCTTCTAGGTAGGTTTGGTTTGTAATCTACACAAGAAATTGATTTGTTTCAGAAATTGATTGAAGGAATACATAGAGACATAGATTTGAATGAGCTTCCTTGGCCCTGTTCCCCATATTACTTGCTTCACATGTAGCATTCTTAATGTAAAGTTTCTAAATTCATTTACACTGTACTTTAACTTTAATTTATCGATGGTGCGCTGTGCCACTCATCTAGGAATATAACCGATGGGGGGCACTAATAAGAACATACTATAAAGTATGTTTCAAAATGGGCAAAGAATCTTTTTCTGACATTTCAATGGTCAAGAGGTTTCTTTTTGATTTTGAAAGGGGTCGTAGTTTTGCTGTGTTGAGCTAATGTGTGTTACGTGCAATGATAGGTCCACGATTTTCGATTATGCTTTGCTATGCTATGCTATACCCAAAACAACACAACACACCACATTATACATTGTTGCCCTATTGTAAACAATCAACAATTACATATTATCACTTCACACATTTTGTACTAGCATTATAAAATAGTATCTCATAAATAGAAATAAAATTTACTTACTGATTCAATTGCAATTTGTATTTTGTCAAGTTTCACTACCGCCTGGCATGAAAAAAAAAATGTGAAAATTCAATTATGATTTATTGACTTTAGGTAGAGAGTCAAATAATATACATGCATGACATTGATTTGATATGAAGTCATAGACATTTCAATATCAGTTTGATCCCAAGCAATCAAATAAACAAGCTATATTGTGATTTGAATCCACTACTGCCTATACTAGAAAGACTGACATTGCTATTGCCTTACGAGATGGGAGGATTCAGTAACGTGTGAAATTACAATGACAATGCCTATGGCATGCTCATAAAACTCATTTCAACACAGATATTACAAGATTTGAATATCAGCATACTTACATTTCTAACTGCTTCAGTAACATCTCTATCTTTCTCATGTGCCAAGAGTTTTCTAACAGTGTGCTCCAACTGCTGTAGTAGAAGGCGATCACCGGGAAGCTTTATCTGTGATTTCAAAGCAGGTAGCAAATGGCAAAATTTGAGGCGCACATTGGCTACAGGATCCTGAGCTAACTCTATGACAAATTCAAAGAAGTACTCTTTGTAAAAAGCCTTTGAGAAGAGTTCCATGATTACCATACATATATCTACAAACAAGATTCGTTTCCAAGAACTCTGACCATGACAACATTCTGAAAAATACAAGAACAGTATTTTGTCTAATTGAAATTCTAATAAAATCAACAGAATATACAGATTTAAGTTAGTTATATGCAAATCAATGAAAGTAAATGATAACATTGCGTGGTAGGCACATACCTGTATGTTAAAAAGCATATGTATCTTTATTGGCGACATATCCCCTTACAATCATATGTAATGTCAGTGACATTAACAGTGGTTAAGGGCACACTGCATGTTTCTATGCCAGGCCACAGATAATATAATTACTGTCTTACCTTCTATAAGTCTACAACAGAGTTCCTGCCTCTGTTCTAACTTCCTATTATGACGGATAAAGACACATACTGTCCTGCTCGCTGCTAACTTTACAGGAAGTACTCTCTGAAAGAGATTATGAATGCAAAAGGGTTCAAAAGCCGACTGAAACATTCCATTTATAAGTTTATGATCTACTTAACAATTCTCTAAGTTGAGAATGTTCCACACAGGCTTCTAATAATGAGTACTTACATTTGTTGTTATGTGTTTAAACATCATAGGTATAAATTTGTAATAGATCTGATCACTAGTCAAGCACTTTGGAAGACAGGAAAACTGAGTCAATATATCTGCATGTAGTCTCCACTGTTTTGAACACGCTGCTAATGATTCAGATGCCATTAATGCCGGTACCAGGTCATTCAAACCAGTTAACTGTCAACACAGATTGCAGGAGATTTATGTTAACCATAGCCAATGCATTGGTCTTATGTGAGAGCATAGAGTACAACCATATCATGTGTTATTATTGTATTCATATTATGTTTATCATGGTGACTTGAAATTAAATTTAATACTGTCTAAAACATTGAATTTTTCAACCACATTCATGGCTGCAACAATGCAACAATTAAATAAAAGCAAACCATCTATAACATACAAGTGATAGAAAATCTGAAATAAAAATAGATTCTGTTGCCACCAGTCTGAGTGAGAAAACCTACAAACAGTACAATGTGTTTAGGCCACATGGGTATGGTAACCACTCAGCTGTCATGTACAATAATGTTTAAACGTGATACTGCTCCTAACAGTCATACAAGTTCAAGGATAGACTTGACAAACAAATTTTTGACACAGGAATTTTCTGAAAAGTCTAAGGAAACAATTTGGGGTACCTGAAACGAGTTTTGAAAATCAAATGTATGTATTTTGATTTTTTCAATTCAAAATGACAAAAGTATGGTTACCATTTTGTAGTGCTTTTAATTGTCTGCATATTTACTAGACAGCCATGTCTATTCTAAATTCACTGATATTTCACATAGTAGCTATGAAACAGTATCTATAAATTTGCTATACAAACAGATTTAAAGATATTGGTTAGAGGTAATACAGTCTAGTAGTAAAAGCATTTAGAGGATAAGCAGTCAGAAGAGATTAACCCCTTGAACACACTAGAATCTTTCCAGACAGATTTTTGTCTGTAACTTTCTATAATTGCTAATGTTAATTTTGAGATAAATAGACATAATTTCCTATCTTTAAAAAAATTTTTTTTTCTGCGCAAGAAGATAAAAAATTACTTTGGTGCTCAAAGGGTTAGATGAAGCAAATTTCAAACTGTCACACTAAAATGTTAGCTGCCCACTGATCACTACTGCCCACTGGCCATCTTGATACAGAGATCAAGAACTATTTTCAAAAAAACAGAAGGGGAAGGAGAGCGCATTTGAATTTATAAACAAAAACATATTTTTGTATTAAGTGTTAGCTGTCCATCGACCACTTAAGCCTCGATGTGATGTTAAAAAAAGCGCATAAATCATAAAAATGTTATGCAGTGTAATTATGGCCATTAGCGGATAGATCATCATGCATAGATATGTGCAATGCAGCAAACAGGTGTATAGGATAGGTCACAATTGTTATATTACAAGGACTGTTAATACTTGTGGTGTTTGTTATGACTTTGAAGTGTGAACATGTTATTTTATCCTGCCCGGGATACAAATAAATACCATATTTGCTCTATTAGTAGCGCATCTCCAATATACTGAATTACTGTAATACAACATAACTTTAATACACATGTAGTAGACTCACCTCTGTTATTTATGTTAGTGGATAAACTACTGATAGAGCAAATACATTAAACTGATATTTCAATATATAGTCTACACAGTTGTTATGATAGCTGTTAAACTGGTTAATGTTCCGTGTCATAAGCAACTGTTTTACCTTCACTGAAATTAAGATGATATTTTTGGGCCGAGTCCAGCAAGAAAAAGTGTTCAGAAAAAAGCCATCCACCAGCATATTTTTGGCAACACTCCACTGACACATACATGTAACTAATTTATTGTTCCAGGATCATGTGATTTCTCTTTAAAGTAACTTTTTTGAAATTTGAGCATAATCATTCTCTGGTAAAAACTTTAGAGAACAACCACCCCCCAGTGAATAGTGAATGGTGCAAATTATGGTTGAAAGCAAAGTAATAACAAACATCACCATTCATGGTGCAAGTAATAAGGTCATTTACATGCAAATGCTGTAAATGAGAGAAGTGCAAAGATGAGTGTGTATACCCATATCTTGTGATATGACAAGAGTGGTCTATGATCACTCTAATACAAGCTTACCCTTTTGCAAAGAATCAGATTGTCAAAACCAAATCCACTTATCTGAGACAGAAAATAATTGCAAGTGATTAAAAAAAACAAAGTAAACATTGCTTTAAAAATAATAATCTAACTATGGCCATTATTTTCAAAACTGGGTGCACTAAAATGAACACTGAATTATCAACGTTCATTGCCAGGGTCACATGCTTCAACATCACTTCATTGTGTCAACAGCGCCCTCAACCTTACTAAAGCTGAAGTTCTTTTGTTCAAGCTTGTAACACTTCACTTGTTTGATGCCATCTATATTGGCTATACATGGAGGCCGTGTTAATCTCAGAGATTAATACTGTAAACATCATGAAACATGACATTCCTGAGATTGAGATGCATCAGTTCAAACCTTCTGTGCAATTTGTTTTAATTATGATTTTTATTTTAATAATATTTAAAAAAAAATGAAAACTAGACTTTCTTTTGTTCATTTAGACAAATTCTGATAAAACCTTTAAAATTCTAAACTGCTAAAAATTTTGCCCAAAAATTGCCCCCTCCTTCCCAAATAATTAGGCAAGTCCCCAATAGGTGATTTCCCAGAGAAATATGCCATTGAAATATCTTTACTTCAACGAAATTGACCATCACATTATTACACATATTTCTAGTGAAATACAACTAATTATCAACATGCATATTCAAATATTCATCTTTATAATGCAATTTAAATTCATATAGATATCATATGCAACCATAGTGTATAAAATAAATCACTGACCTACATTTCAAAATTTAGCAGCAATTTTAAATGTATGTTATTTAATATGATTAATTAATTGATCGCTGAATTTTTTTCTAAGCTGGTGTGCATAAAAAACAATATTGTGATGAAACATGTGAAAAAAAAAGTCTGCCGATGCGACAGTTTGATCAGTTCTGTCAGGTGCAGCAGATACATGTGATTGCTTTCCTAAACAGTACAATTAGGTTTAATAGCGTCACCTTCTGACAGCTTATCTCTCACAAAGTAAGGGGCTATGGAAGATGAGAAGATAATAATAGGAAGTTAGAACTAATGGGTACAATTAAGACAAACGCCAACTAATACCCATCAGAATATCAAGTTACTGTACCTTGGACTCAGTAACTACATTACCACTTCCTTTAGCTAACATCTCTAAGGTTTCTGGTAAATGAGGTATTAAACCTTCCAACACCTGTAAAAACAGATAAAACATGTATCTTAGGAGTCTGTGTGTAAGTGTTAAACTTATAAAAATACTGACACAAGTAAAAAGTTTACTAGCAAACAGTAACTTTTGTCTTAGAATGTTGTAAATTGTCCAAACTTAAGATTATTACTAGCACAAGAAATACAAATTTGGGGTCTGTTGCAGTGTGAATGTTTGTTTTTTTTATGTTTATTGGACAAACATATTTTCATGTTGCATATTATGAAGTGACAATTTGGTAATTCATCATGGTTAAATTGTTATTTCAGGAATGTCAGTCACCTGATTTTCTTGAATTTTGTGAGCCTTCCCAATGATAGTTCAGCCCTAACTGTGCAATGAACATGGAAACATCCACAACTATGGTCAACAAGAATCCCAAAAAATATTTCAGTCATGGAATTAGGGCAATTCATTTTCACCAACTACATCCCATCACATTTGAAACATAGCATGCTGAAAGCCACCAAGAATAACTAACCGAAATGAATGGGGAGGGGGATAGTGACAGCAGATAATGAATGTGTTTATCAGCTTTACTATAAAAATCATCAGTTTACTGTCATCGCAATAATGGATGCAACACCAAATCAGCAATATTGCCAGCTAAACCAGTCAACAGAATATCAGAGGATT